AGGGAAATGTAGCACTTTTGGCTCTATCAGCGCCTGTGCAGTACTCTGGCTGCAATGACTTCAAAAATGTGTCATTTTTCGAGTAAATGGCACAGGATTGTAAAACAATTGTTTCAACCACGTAATTATTATTTTTGTATAGACCATACTGTACTAGCAGTCTCATTAAATTCGGTTTAAATTATTGCCATGAAGATAAAAGTCAAAATTTATGATATTCGAACAGTTTTCGTCATGGCCAACTCTTCATACTACCAATATAGGACGGGCACCACCAATTGAAAAGACCTGTTCTATACAGAGAATATAGCTTCACTACTGCACACACAATACTGTACGTGATATGACTTTCACATGTTTACATTCATTTAGGCATCATGGCACGTAAAAGACTTGCCCAACGTTTCTATAACATGAGAAAAATGAAAGCCACGATGAAAATGGGATTTCGTCAGTAGGAAATTTGAGTCATAATATCGTACCTCGTCCCGAGTCGAACGGAGCTCTAGGATTAGAAACGTTGGTCTTCGTCATCGGCTGCGATGAAACGGACGCAACGCTCGCGCACGGGCTCCCTCTCGTTGCTCCTCTGGACGGCTCAGCCTTTCTTCTCCAGTCCAATGAGGGTGTTTTCCTTCCTGGGACGTTTTTACTATAAACCCTGCTCCGTGTGGGAGGAGATGAGATGGACGCTACAATTGCAGACGAATTTCCTCTATTTTCATTTCCGCGACGACCGGCTGCGGTTACGTAACGGACTATGACCGGCGCAGGCCTTGAACGTAGTGGTGCATTAAGGTACTAGCCTCTAATAAACACTTGTCACTTTTGAAGACAACGGAGTCACTAGTTGTTGTGCTCGTATTTTCTTTGAGTAAGGAGTATTTTATTACAGAGTTGAAATATATCCACAACGAAAATAGCTTCTATAATACGCCTGTCACACCGACGAACTACACCACCTTACACAGGGCCAGAATATTTGCGGAACTTCAACAGCACTCTCCTCAATTCAAACAGTAGGGCTACAGCGAAGGTACATATACATGTGAAAATACCGTTAAACGAAAATATGATTTACGCGAGGATCAATTTTCTCGAACTCGAAAGGACAAGTGCCTTCATGACTTCCACAAATTTTTTCAGAGGAACATTACCGTTCTTCTAACGAAGTCTTTCGTGCTTCAAACGGGTAGGATCATTGCAGTTGACTCACTTTCCACCTCGCAATGACGTCATAGACGTTCACGAGAATCGAATGCCACGTTTTCAACACTGATTATGTGCACCCAGGATTCTCTAGCTATCGCGACTTTCACACCTATCATGTATTCCAACTGATCGCACTTGACGCTAGAGTTATTCGTTAATTCTTCACTTCATCTCACGCACTCCTTTCCCATATTCTTGCCTAACAACATACTGTACCACGAACTTTGCGGCCGTTCCATCACAGGTTCACCCAAATTTCTGATGGTTGAAGAAGATATGGATGGCTGAAGAAGACAGGGATAGTTTTTTATGTGTCAAAGCAAACAAAGTGTGCATATATACCTGGTCAAAAATTGCAAACTTTCAAGTTGAATTCCAGTCAAGAAAATGTCCATTACAATTACGCCTCATTCGATATTATACCCTGTTTAATACATGCATGGTACAGACCATCTCCTGATGGTGGTTCACCATATCAGAGGAAAAGATTGAACAGCCTAAATCAGTTCCGTTGTGAGCCAGCATGCTAGAATTAGACTTCATTTTTGAGAACGAGGCTTAAATTAAAAAAAAGGGTTTCTCGAAATCAAAATTTGTATTACAAGCGATTAAAAGAACCTGGGTTTCTTGGATGGGCAACGTGGTACTCATCAGCCAGCGCGAACTACTGTACTGTACACTATAAATCTTCAGTTTGATTCAGTGTGGCTATGCCATGAATGTTACTCATGAAGTCCTGAAAGCGATAAACGTTTTATAGTTCCCTAAGATAGAGGGGATAACGTGGCATCCGAAACGTAAAGTGATGGATTAAAGATATAAGCTTTCATTACTTATAATACCTTGCTGGTTTACTTTCAACGGGGACGAATTCTGCGCCTGCGAAACGTTCGCTATTTGCTGTACCATTGTTGAAACTTTCCTGTGCGTCAAGGTAAGCTCGGAATTACTTCAGCTCAGTAAGTTTCAAACGCGAACGAAAGCTGGTGACGACAATGCTGGGGATAGGAGCAAGAAAGTACCCAATTGGGGGAAACGTGTAACAATTCAAGAGTCGCTTCAGAATTGGCGCACTTTTATAAATTCAGTTGCAATCATACAATGAATCATAATGCTTCCCAAGTTATCGGTAAAGTCAAGTCATAAGTGTTGTTTGATAATCTTGGCTCTTTTTACATTTAAAACTATCGAAAAGTGCCATCCCGCGCTTCTGAGCATGATCATTTGTTACAACGAAAACACAGTGAGACATATTTTTTGAGGTTGTGAAGTTACTCATGAAGGCAGCAGTACTGTCGAGAAGCCACGGGGAAGAAAGATTTCAACGCAATTGTTTTAGTTTTGAAGAAAGCCTCGCGTTAGTGAGACTATACAGTCAACTCAATTTCCCTGAGCTTGTGGAAGATAATCTTTGATTGTGAATAAACGCTTTGATGGAAAAATCAATTTTTGGGAGGGTTTTGTCATTTTTCAATAAGATTCAATGGTTGAACTCTCAGGCATATATCCTAAATACGTGAAAATGCCAATTTTTTTTTATTTCCAGCTACTCCAATGTTAGAATCTCTTCAAGTTTAATTTTCATTGATGTGCTTCTCTATTTTTCATCAGTATCATGGTTACACCGTTTAGGTTTCCAAAGTTCCAGCTAGTTTTCTTCTCAATTTCTTCAGTGTGGAATGCTTTCAGTGCATCTGAGGGACTTTACCCTTTTGGGTTAGAAGCAGGGGATATGTTTCTACCCAATTGTGATGACTGCAGTTGGGGGCCGGTCAAACTGAAGAATCCCATCACGGTTTTTGGGATGCCCACCCAAGTATGCTATGTCAACACCAATGGAGGCATCAGTTTCACAAAGCCAGTTCATGAGTTCAGCCCTGCCTGCTCACCTACGGATGAACCAGAAAACATGATTGCTCCATTTTGGGCAGATGTTGATACAAGGTG